TTTGTCCCAAGGTGACTATGTGTTGAGATGCAGATCCCTAAGATCAAAGCAGCCTGGAATGTTGAGCCATCACGTGCAGGAAAATTGCCCAGAGAGTCATTTGGACCTTTGAGCAAGGAAAAAAAAACAAAAACGAAAACAAAAAATCTCTGTTGTATAAGTCACCGAGGTTTTTGGTATTTTTTAGTTCTGAGGTGAATGCATGCTGTGTGTGTATTTTAGGGTTACTGCTGGATAATCAAATGTATCCTGATGCTATAAATGCTCGGCAAATGCATGTTTCAGACAAATCTCTTCCAGCCCCTGCTTCCAACGTGCTGACCACCTCTAAGCCTCTCCTAATAGAAATTCTGGACCTGTCTGTGCCCCCAACCCGTCCCTCTTCACCTCTCTCCAATATCATTTATCATCACCATCTACTTAGTTGCAGGGATTATCTCAATGCCTCCCCCTTCTTCAGCCACGGTCTGATCCCCGAGTTTCTCGCGGTGTATCTCAGGTTTGTTCTGGACATCTGCCTTCTTCCTGTCCCTGCTTCCGGTCTTCAGATATATGTGATACCGTCAAACTCCGAAGTTAATAAAAGGTCCACAGTGAAACTGCCTCGCACCCCTGTCCCTCAGCCACCTAATTCCTCTGCCTATAGGCAACTCAAATGACCAGGTCCTTATGGACCCTTCCAGAGATAGCTGCACATAGAAACAAGTCAATATGTCTCTCAGAGTAATTTTCCAGAAACACAAAACTGACCATCCGCCCGCTTAAAGCCTTTGAGCGCCTTCCCACTGCAGCTTCTTGAAGGTTCAGGACCCTACGCTGGCAGCCCCCTCCGCCCCCCTGAGCTCCCGATTCCAGACAACCGTCTGCTCTGTTGCAATCCCTCCCACCTCTGGGCTCTTCCCTCTGCTGGGGCAGTTTTCCCACAGATCCGCGCACGCTGGTTCTTTCCTTCCACGTTACCCCCTCAGAGCCTGCACAGCCCTTCCCGCCCCTGGTCTTCTCCAGCGCAGAAGTCCCTCTGTCCGCTGCCTCCAAGCTTCTGGCACAAGTAGTCACCACATACTGACCAGCGTGCTGACTTGCGTGCGGACCCTCTCCCTCTGTGGACTGTAAGTTCCCTGAGGGCAGAGACTGTCTGTCTGGTTCACCGCTGGTTCGGGTTCTGTGCCTGTCACAACACAGGTGCGCGGCAAGCACTCGATGGCTGCGTGAATAAGGACATGATGGAAAAGCTAGTGTCCTGAACAAAAAGGCAAACGAAACTGAGAAATAGAAGCTAGCCTCAACTACTTAAGTAGGCAGATTTGGTCTCCATGTTGTTTCTCCCCCGAGGATAGACGTTAGATTTTTATCCTGAGCTTCCTCACTGTGTGGTCGGCTGTGTCTCCGCTTAGGCCAACCTCCCAACACAGGAAAGAGCAGAGCAAAAAACGTCACTCCCAACGGGTCAGAGCCTCCAACTTTCTGGGAAGCAGCAGCAGCAGACACAGAGCACGTTGGCAGACCTTGTGTTTTGTCAGAGATGTTTCATAAGTGGCTTCCACAGAGATATTAAGCCATCGCTTCTTGCTTCGTTTTAGAGACCGGAAGTTCTCTTTTGCTGCTTTTTGTTTTCTGCTTTTTGTTTTTGTTTTTGTTTTTTGTTTTTACAAGCTGGTAACCCCAGAAAAGACAGCGACTCTTACGTAGAAAGAGCAACATGTTTGTAAGGAGCGTTAAGTCCACGGTCTCCAATCAGGATCCCCTTCTGCCTTAAATGTTTTAATTGGGCACGTGTTTTCCTAATCCTAAAAGTAATGAGGCGTTACTTTTATGATTCTATTTAGTCATTTTTGATAATAAAAGGCTCGAATCGCCTTCAGGATAAACTAGAGAAATAAAAATCACATCCCTGAACAAGCGTTTTAGGTCGCAAAAGCTAACTAATGCACCTGCTTTCGTCCGTTACTCTCTCCTTGGAAACCAGATGACAAAGCCTCATTCATCTCTACTTTAATTTTACCTTCGGAATTTATCTCTGGGTGTCCAGGTCAGCTGAGTGGATTAGCTAGGTAATGGGACCCAGCCAGCTGGCCTTTCTCTCTTACCAGAGCAGAGGATAAAAATCCAAGCTCCCTCATGTGCTACACAAGGCCCCTCATACCCTGGCCCCGTTCCCCGCCCCCACCCCAGCCTCCCTGCCCACCACTTCCTTCCCTTACGTTTCGTGGAGAAAGGACACGGGCTCACGGGCCTGTTCTGATGGTACAGATGTCTCGTGTTCACCTGGATACTTCTGTGCCAGGGTATAGAAGAAAGCTCAGGCCTCCTTTGTATCCGGGACAGACTTTGAGGACTGGGTTCCAGGGTTCTGCTGTGCGAGACTCACCGGCAATTGATGAGGAAGTGAATTCACCTGGAAGGGGTGGGGTTGGCTGCTTTGATCAGCATGCCGAGCTCAGAACCCGTCTTCAGCGATGTGCCAGTGCCACCGAGGGCACAGAGAGGGCTGCTGGTTATGGACCTGGGTGCTGGTTACACTGGTGTCCTTGCTTTGTGAAAATTCCTCAAGGGGAGCACTATACTTTGTATCCTTTTGATAGACATGTTGTACCACCTTGAAAAGTTGGCTTAAAGTAATGAACATCATTGCACAAAATAAGAATCACTTGGGTAAGAATTGCAGGAATTAACTGAGGTTATTTGTAACATTGTTTATTGCATTGGTGAGTCTTTAGGAAAAGACGTGCTGCACAGAAACAAGTACAACTGGAGCTATAAAAACTATAACGAAATGGCCGGTGATTGTAAAATAATGATAAAAGTAATGGCAAACTTAAATGATAAAAGTAATGGCAAACTTAAAATGTAGCATTTTCATCATATGTAATAGTTCTGTTCAGAAAGGACACATCAGAGTAGTTTCAAAGGCACCTTTACATTTAATAAAAATATATGCAAATATTTCCAAATGTACATACACAGTTTGATTTTTTTCATTTGTTATTGAAATTCATATACAACACTGGAATCTTATAGGTTAAGAAAGACAAAAGACAACCTAAATTTCAAGTAAAATTTCCATTGACAACACAGATTTAAAAGTATGGTTACTATTCACAAAATGCACAGAAAAGACAGCATCCCAAGAGCATCCTCGGAAACAAGTCAGATAGACTGTGGTCTTACATAGTCACAGTGGGACCCAAGATTTTACAAAACTCTAGCCTTAGTGTAAAATGTAACTTTGGTATTTCCTTCAACTAATAAGGAAAAGGGCAGTGCGTGTATCCTCTACTGAACAGAGGCATTCATCCATTTTCTGCAAGACTGTTATATTCACTCTTCTAAGATTTGTCACTTTGATAGTCGGGTATTGATGTGGAAATGAGAGACTATTATAATCCTGGCTAGGCTGTTCCCAAAAGAGGAGACGTCATTCTAAATCAACAGAGGACAGGGGCGCCTGGGTGGCTCAGTCGGTTAAGTGTCCGACTTCGGCTCAGGTCATGATCTCACGGTTCGTGGGTTCGAGCCCCGCGTCGGGCTCTGTGCTGACAGCTCAGAGCCTGGAGCTGCTTCAGATTCTGTGTCTCCTCCTCTCTCGGCCCCTCCCCCGCTCGCTCTCTGTCTCTGTCTCTTAAAATAAAATAAAGACATTAAAACTTTTTTTTTTTTTAAATCAAGAAAGGGGGCACCTGGGTGGCTCAGTTGGTTAAGTGTCCGACTTCTGCTCAGGTCATGATCTCATGGTTTGTGGGTTCAAGCCCCATGTCGGACTCTGTGCTGACAGCTCAGAGCCTGGAGCCTGTTTCAGATACTGCATCTCCCTCTCTCTCTGACCCTCCCCTGCTCACAAGGTCTCTCTTTCTCTCTCTCAGAAATAAATAAAACATTAAAAAAAAAAACAAGAGAGGACAGCACAATCCACAAGCATGAAAGAAGCTCAATCCATTGCAACTCACTCAGATTCCAATACGCAGAATGTACGGGAGTGAGGGGAGATGGAGGCTTTGAGTCAACCAGTGTGAATGTGATCACTGATAATAATCCTTCTGAATAGATAACTGGTTTCTGATTGTATTTGGGAAGAAAAACGGGGAGAAGACACAGTGCCTTTGGATAGCCAAACACATTTGGGAATTTCACAGGTTTTGTGCCAGAGGTACAATGTAACTCTCAATCAGGCAAAACAGCAAATCGGTTGGGGAGCTGAGTATTTTTTTCTCTCAGAGTTAACCACAACTTCATCCACTCCAGTGTGAAGCGTATGGGAATAGGGACGAAAGCCTATGTATTCTGTATAATACCTAGAAAACTGTTGGCACTCAGAAAAGATTAAGTAAAAATAAAAGATATAAAATGTGGATTTTTGCAAACCTGTGTATTTTCCGGGTGTCTGGGGGGCTCAGGCAGTTAAGTGTCCGACTCTTGGTTTCAGCTCAGATCATGATCTCATGGTTTCATGAGTTCAAGCCCCACATCGGGCTTTGTGCTGACAGTGCAGAGCCTGCTTGGGATTCTCCCCGCCGCCCGGCCCCCCTCACTCGCTCTCACACACACACTCTCTCAAAAATAAATAAACGTTTAAAAAAAAAAAACCCCTATGTATTTTCTACGTATGTATTCCAAACGGCTTTATTTTCCTTTGATGTTGAGCTCCTTTAGTTCTGTCTTTTTTTTTTTTAAACTTTTTTTTTAAATATTTTTTATTTATTTCTAGGAGAGAGAGAGAGAGAGAGCGTGAGCAGAGGAGGGTCAGAGAGAGAGGGAGTCACAGACTGAAACAGGCTCCATGCGGGGCTCGAACCCACGAACCGCGAGATCATGACCTAAGCGAAAGTCGGACGCTTAACCGACTAAGCCACCCAGGCGCCCCANCGCGGGGCTCGAACCCACGAACCGCGAGATCATGACCTAAGCGAAAGTCGGACGCTCAACCGACTAAGCCACCCAGGCGCCCCAAGGACGTTCTGTCTTTAAAAATTCATTTTAAACATCGATTTATAAACGGACTGTTCACTTTTTATTTTTCATTTGTTTGTTTTTGGAAAGGTGGTCAGAATTCTGTTAAAGATCACTTACTTTACATATTGCTAAAATTGTAGAGAAAAAACAAACTCAGTCTTACAAGCGTCTCAAAATTCTTTTGTTCAAAATAACACAATTTTTGCATTCAATTTTAAGTAGAACATACCTCTCTAGACCTGTACACAGTGATCATTTCTATAAACTAAGGCAAGTTAAAGCTAACTTGTGAAGCTCAAGATCATGTCATATATTGTATTTTATCTTAATTGTGATCCATCATCATTATCCCAGCAAAAATGACGTATGCAAACCATGTTAGTCTTCTTACTTCATTTTTCTGAATCAGTGTTTCTAACATAGATCAAGCTGGTTCTGTGCCTTTTAAGTGAACCTTTTTTTTTTTTTTTTTTTTTTTTTTTTTTGGTTTGTTTTGAATTCTGGTCAGGGAGAGTAACACTGGTTATTGAGTACTAAGTCTGCATTTTAAAAACTTTGCTGATGTGCTTACTGAAAGTGACTTGTGAAGACTTTTACTGATAAATGCATTAATAATTGAACTTCTTCATTTATTCAGTGCCAGTACCCACTGTGACCCATGCAGCTCATGGGAAGCGACGTCAGTCAGAAATGGGTTTTTCTTATGATGATCCTTCCCGACCTACCTGCCCACAGAGCCTGCGGGCGCACACTTACCCCGACTAAGCAGAGGGAATCCCACACGCACGAGAGCACTGTTAGCAAAGCTGATACGGAGGAGCAGCATAACATCAGCAGATCCTGGACACTGATTGCGAAATCACCTGGATAATTCTCGCCGTTTTGCACATTGTAGAGGTAAGCTATTTATTTTATAAATAAGGCCTTAAAAAAAAAAGCTTAGTGGTTCTCTTTCATTGGCCAAGAGGTAAAAAAAAAAAAAAAAAATCAAAAGATTTATTTTTAAAAATCGAATGGAAGGTGAACGAGTGTTTCAAGTCCAAAGAAACAGTCCATTTAGGAGATGTTTGCATAGAATTACACTGGTGGGTAAATTCTGCCTGGCCGTCCTGGCTTCTAGCACCCTCCTGAGCCCGCTTTCAGGAAGCGAGGCTACGCATAGCCTGTGGAAAGAAAGGGGAGGCAAAGCGTTCATAGAAATGAACCCTCCTTTGGTCTACCTTATCTTTGTGTTTTACAAACACAATTTGATAGTTTGGGTTACTCACGTTTACTCATCTTAGGTATGTCTAGGGTAAAACCTTAACTTCGTACCTCATTACCCTCCACTTGGATTTCTTTAGAAGCAGTAAGTACTGTTTACTGAGTACTTACTATGTACCAGAGACTAGTATCCCTTTGCATGGATCCTTTAATTTGTACAACTCTGTGAGGTCTTACTATTTCTATTTCACACGAAGAAATTAAAATGAAGACACGGCAAGTAATTTTCCCCGGGCTACACAGCCAGTGAGTAGCAGATTCGGGACTAGCACACAAATCTGTCTTGTTCTAAAGCTCATACCCTTGAAACCACTCCACTCTACTCCTTTACTAGCCACAGGTACCCTACCTGAATGCTATTCTAATCCACCTCAATAACGACGCCATTAGTTTATGTGGCAATCCAAAAGTACTTCTGTGATGTGGCAACGTCCTGACTTACGATTTTGATGAGTTTTCACTCCACTAAGTCAGCCTCATAACCATAATCACAAACTGCTAAAGCTGGAAGGGCCTCTAAGCTCAAGAATGACATCCCCGGGCGCCTGGGTGGCTCAGTCAGTTAAGCATCTGACTCTCGATCTCAACTCAGGTCTTGATCTCAGGGTCGTGAGTTCAAGCTCCGTGTTGGGCTAAGAATGACATTCCTAGAGTCACTAAGCTGGTGGACTAAGGAGGCAGGACCTCTGATCTTCACCCTAGCAACGTATAGGGTGAAATCTCCACAAAAATCTCCGCCTGTCCTCACTGCCTGATTTTGCTATAGGGTTCGAATGTTGTTCTCAACATTTTTATCACGATCTGGAATAAGGCAGAGGAGGCAAGCTGGTCAGGTTTGCATATAACGCCAGTGGGATGAAGAGTTGATATGCGGATGAGGAGTTCAGAATTCGAACTCCTTGAAACTAGAAATAAGATGTAGTCTGTCAAAAATATGTGTAACCCCACATTAGGATCAAAAACCAATTACATAAATATAAATGAGGAGCCTAGCTGGGCCATAGTGTGTGTCAAATGCCCAAGTTTGTTTCTGGCCCCTTGCTCAATAGAAGCCAAGACTTTGATGTGGCTGCAAGGAAAATGTACACATTTTAAAGTCACAGTAATAGACATATCTTGACAAGATCAAGGTAGGTGTGGTCGCACAATCTTCCATGCTGACCTCACCGCATCTGGGATTTGTGGCCCATTCCTGACGAGAGGAGCATTGACAGATTTTGTGCCTGAGGAATGAAGTAAAGGCAACTGGAGGAATCCAGCCTGGAGAGAGTCTGATGGGCACATGGGAGCTAGTGCCGAATAGGTAAGGGCTGTTCAGTGGGAAGGTTTGTGTTGTTGCTGCAGAAGGCAGGCCTCAGTCCACTGGATAGTTTTTGTAAGCAAAACCAACACTAGGAGACATCCAACCATGTAACAAACTCCCTTGCAAAGCCACCAGTTGCCAGTATCTGGAAATGTTCACACAAAAGCTTAGCGAACAACCTTGGGGGTGGAGTAGGAGAGATCTCTGCGTGGGCTAGCGTGTGGATGTCCTGATGTTCCAAGGCATCTTTCCACCTTAAAATTCCTATGACCTCCCTTCGTGGGTCCCCTTTTACTTGACGGTGGAGCCGTAGAGTTCAGTCAGATGCTACATTTCAGTCAAGGTTCCTAGGAAGAGTCTGATGTCCCAAGAGCATGAGAAATGCATGGCATCAGTCTCAAATGGAGTGTCTTCTTTACCATTATCAGTCAGATAAAGAAAGTGCCATGAGGTTCTGTGCCTCACATACTTCTCCTGAAGCTTCTGAAACTCCCTGACCTTAGGTGGGGAAGGAAGAGAGAGACGGGGAGGCTTAGCTAGAAGCTCAGGACTAGTGTGCTGGCTACATCCAGTCGGTGATCGTGGCTCAGGCGCCCTAAGTACTTAATGCCTTCAAGGGACAATTCTTGTTTTCCGCCATTTCCCCCTTTCTATGAAGCTATGCTTCTGGTATTTTTTTAAAAATGACTTTCCCTGAATAGTTTTAATCAGACATAGTCACTATTTGTATTATTCTGTTGATTCAAGCTTTAATCCAAAGTATTTTCTTTGAAAGAAAATAATGATCATACCTCGTCCTGGACATCAAGCTCTTCTCCAATCAGCTCTACTTCCATTAATTCAAGAGGACCTTTACAGTCTTGGAGGAGCGTAATCTTGATCAAGAGAACAGAGAATATTTATTGGAAAGATAATGACATCTGCCCACCTGATACTCCTCAGAAAATTATTTGAAGCTTTGCTGGTGCCTCTCGTCTATAATCTACATACCGTGAAATCCTTTTCAGCTTTCTTGTTCTTCTGCATTTCCCACCTTAGAATTTCTCCCCATACTATTTTTTCACATTCAAGTGTGAACTGGCACCATTCTCCACGGTCTCACCTCCTTTTCAGCTCTCTTCCCCAACCTCTGAAGTGTGTACCTCTTAACGAGTCACCCTGTCTGCCTAACGACTCAGCACTCAATCGTGTTTTTCTTTCAGTGGCTGAGCTGAGAGCACTTAGTACACCACTGAGCATGCAGCGAACGCCCAGCGAAGGGCCTGTGACTGATGACAGTGAAAGTCGCCAGCTTAGCTGGACGTGGATTTTACTGGAGGTGGAAACCAGAGTGTAGGGACCCAGTTGGTTTTTTGGGGAAGTTCTGCTTTTCAGCAGTAACGTGCAGTTTAAACTTCTACAAAGAGGAAACCGATAGTAATTTGGGCTTTGTTTTATGTTCGAAGAAGGATATTTCTAAAGCCACTCCAAATGCGTACCCAGGCGAGTGATGGTTCAAAGTGCTTCTTAGCTACTTTTCGTCTCAGAAATAAATAATCCAAGTCTCGTTGCTCGTGTGCAGATGCAACAGGGACTTACGTCCCCTGGTGGGGATGGTCATAACATACTGGGAAAGTTAGAGGCTATCCCGGGCTTTTGTGCGAGACACAGAGGCACAGAGAGGTTGAAGGTTCCCAGTGAAATGGGTCGCCAGGAGCACTCAACCCCCATCCAGTGAACTAGTAAGTGTATGCCAGAAGCACTCATTTATACACAGCCTGCCATTTGTTCAGGCTCAGAAAAATCCATCGCAGCCGCTCACAGCGCCTCCCTGACAGCAGGCAACATGGAGTCGGGGCTTGGTTGGTGGTTTCTGTGGTGCTTATGGCCTGAGAGCTCCAGCCAGAAATAGGATATAGACAAGTAACAAAATAACCATTTTCATGGCGAGAAAGAACGAGACACCTCGGGTCTAAATACTTTTAAGTGCGGTTATTTTGTTTGTTTGTTAGATGCTTTGTATGATTCTGCTTCGTTTTGGTTACCTATGAGTTAGAGGATTTTAAGTTAGAAAGTAGAAGAAAGTTTATGAGTTTTCAGAGATGAGCATCTTACATGTAGCTTGCTTTCTTTTTCTGCTTTTTTTTTTTTTTTTGGAGATTTGTGGTTTTACTACTTTTTTTCTTTTTTGTATTTAAGATCCACATCGTGGTATTTAATGCTAATATTCCCCCCACCCCCAGCATTAAGAGATCTCTCCACGAACAGGCGCTGAAAAGAATCCTGCACTATCGTTTTCTGAATTAGTTTTACTTCAGACATTAACTTCCAATCCACAATGAAAACCTACTCATCTGAATTTTAAAAAAGAAGGAAGCAGTTAAAAATATAGCACATCTGGTCACTGGAATCATTACTATTGTTATTTTATAAATTGTTTTAGTGTTTCAAAGTCACTGTCCGAGGGTCCATGAGAGAAGAGGTTCTTGGACGAGGCCCAGTGACTCAGTCCAATGACCCCGCCCGGCATGCTTGGCTGTCGGGGTAGGTGTCAGGAGAGCTGACAAAATGGGGAGGCTCATGGGAAACTTGGGTCTATTCTATTATCTGGGAAGTTATTAACTCTGGGCCGACTCATGACTTTTCTTTTTTTTCCTTTTCAAAGATCACTTAGGACCTAAAGGATCCCATTTAAAGATATTTTTCATTGAGTTTTTCCAGATGGCTGAAAATTTAAATTATATATACAATTGTGCATTTGTATGCCCAAAGCCCAGAAAATCCACGATCCACCTATATTCTAAAAAGGCATTATTACAGCGAATGCCTACTTTTGCTAGTAAACTCACGTGTTGTAAAATAAATATGCACCAGATACTCCTAAGTGCTTTCCTGTAAACTGTCTTATTTAGTCATCCTATCTACCCCATGAGGTCAATGTTTTTACTCCCATTTTACTGATGAAAAAACCGAGGCTCTGAGAAATTAAGCAGATGGCCCCAAATCCTACTAGACAGTGATTCAAACCTAGATTTGTGAAGCTTTTGCTCTTTACAGAAATCACAGTAGTTTAGGAAAGACACTCATATAGAAAGCTTAAATGTTTACCGTTTCCAAAATGGAATCTTGAACCTCTTGGGATTTAACCTGGTTCTGTAGATGGAGCACAGCATCGTGGACGGTCAAAAAGAATATGTCCTTTCTAATGTTATCGTTAAAGAAACCACATTTCTCCAGTTTTTCTATCACATGATCTTCAAAAGAAAGAGATAACGCTCAGTCCGTAGGAAAACACATTTGTAACATCAACCCATACTAAATTTTGTCAGCTTCTCCTTTTCATTTCTTCCCCCTCATTTTCAAAACGTGACCCTGCTCTAAACTGATGGAGTTTCTTTTCCAGAAGCACGTGGAATGGTTACCCCATACCTGGCTGTGGCAGACAGCCTTGGCTCCCCGCCACATGGTTTTTGCCAGTGCACCCATCCCCAGGCTGCCATGATGAGCCTGGCTGCTAATGACTCCCAGCTTGCCCTTCTCCGAAGACCTTTCCTTGGTCACCGGTTTACACCCCAACCGTGAGTGGCCTACAGCCTTCCACTGACTGATATGGGGCTTAAGAGGCTGGCCCCCTTCCCTCAAGGAAGGATTACCTTCTGATGCTCTTCCTGCTGTGGGCTCCTTTTAAACTCGGGCTAAGGAAGACTTCTAAAACCATGTCTTTGTCCAGTCTCTTCCCCGCCCTAGCCTTCCTCCATCCGTCCTGCATGAATTTCTCAGGTATAAGTCACTTGTCCAAGAATCTTTCTCTCAGGACCTGCTTCTAGAGAACTCAGCCTAAGCACTAGCATTTTCTTATACACATACAACTCGTGCATAGACAGACACAGACTCAGACCCTGGAGGACCCCCTACTTGTAAAGGACCTAAGTCACCTCCGTGGTGAATTTTCCCCACTGGCTCTGCACTGCTATCGGGATGTGCATCTCCATGGAATTCCAGCTCTACTGCACAGATTGGAAGTAATGTCTTTCCAGGTTTCAAAAAGGCCCTCAGAGGGATTGCATAATGAGTAGAGTTTTTGTCTGTGGCACTGAAAAATTTCAGAAATTGATAGTTGTAATGGCTGTGCTACATTGTGATTGTGCTTAATGCCATTGACTTAATTGTACACATGAGTATGACTAAAATGGCCAATTTTACGCTATACGTCTTTTACCACAATAAAAAATAGTTTTAAAGAAAGGCTCTTTGGACATCGTGTACCCACACTCCAAGGTGGAAGAAAGGGCTTAGGAGAAAGTCTTATAGGTAGATATGTTTGTACATGCATTTACCTTGAAGCGATGCAAAGTACACATTTACATCAATTCTTTGAAATTCTTTGACAATCTAAAAATTTAAAAAAGAATGTGTAACAATGAGTGACTTTATCTGCTCATAATTCAGTAGCATTCAATTACCCGCTCAGGAGAAACTTTAACACTTTCATGGGTAATCAGGACTTTAAGGAAAGTTGATTATTGGAGGAAAGTTCATTATTGGAAAACTGGTGAGGTTTTCAACCTACGGTGATGGTATGATTAGGGATGAAAAGATCATCTCAAGAGGTCGTAACGTCCAGTGCCCAATAGCACAGGGCTAGATAGCACAGAGGCACTTAAAAAGTGTTTGTGGAAGAAAGGAAAGAAGGGCGTACAGGAGGCTTCCTAACATAGTCCCTGCTGATTGGAGACAAGAGCACACGTTTGTATCTTTGAATGGAAGATAGGAGTATAGATAATATGGCCACTGGATTCCAAATGTAAAAACGGACCTACGAGGTCTCCTGACCGTGATTTCTGTACGATTGTGCTGCAAGATGGTGCCAGTGGGAGAAACTGGGTAAGGGTTTCATAGGCTCTGTCTGCAGTGTTTCTTAAAACTTCACGTGAATCTACAAGTATCTCAAAATAAACAATTTAATTTAAAAAATCAAGATACGGCCAAAAGCAATATTGAGAAATAAGAACAAAGCTGGAGGTATCATAATCCAGGATATTGAGATATGCTATGAATTTCTAGCAGTCAAAACAGTATGGTACAGGAACAAAATTAGGCATATAGATGAATGGAACAGGGGAATAGAGAGCCAACATTTATATGGTCAATTTTTAAATGTTTGTTTATTTTTGAGAGAGAAACAGAGTGTGAGTGGGGGAGGGGCAAAGAGAAGAGGGAGACACAGAATCTGAAGCAGGTTCCAGGCTCTAAGCTGTCAGCATAGAGCCTGACACAGGGCTTGAACCCACGGACCGTGAGATCATGACCTGAGCCAAAGTTGGAGGCTTAACCGACTGAGCCACCCAGGTGCCCCACACACTTATGTGGTCAATCAACCTACGACAAAGGAGGCAAGAATATACAACAGGAAAAGACAGTCTCTTAACAAATGGTGTTGGGAAGACTGGACAGCTACATGCAAAAGAATGAAACTGACCACTATCTTACCTCATACAAAAAAATAAAACTCAAAACCCAGCAAAATACTCAATGGGAGAAAGATATTCCTAAATGATATTTCCAATAAAGGGTTAATATCCAAAATAGATAAAGAATTTATACAAGGCAACACTGAAAGCCCCAAATAATCTGATTAAAAATGGGCAGAGGAGCTGAAAAGACATTTTTCTAAAGAAGACCCACAAATGGCCAACAGACACGTGAAAAGATGCTCAACATCACTCATAATGCTAAGTGAAGTCAGTCAGAGAAAGACAAATACCATGTTACTTCACTCATACGTAGAATTTAGGAAATGAAACAAATGAACAAACAAACAAAAAACCCCAGAGTCTTAAATACAGAGAACAAACTGGTGGGTTGCCAGAGGGGAGATGCTTGGGGAGATGGGTGAATAAATAAAGGGGATTAAGAGCACCCTTATTGTGATGAGCACTGAATAATGTTAGGAATTGTTGAATCATTATTGTTCATCTGAAACTAATATCACTGTATGTCAATTATATTTCAGTAAAAGTGTAAAAATTAAGAGCGATAAATCAAGACATGAGAACTATAGGGAACAATAAAAGAGAACTTCACATTTCTGGGGGAAAGAATCAGGACCTTTAGCACGTGTAATGTTTAGAGGTATCATAATTGCCCTTACAGCATTTGAAAGAGCTATTTACTAGGTGTGGGAAATATCCTGGCATTAGATGAGTTACTACTCTCCCCAAAAGTAATTCATTAAACCCTTTGCCAAATATAATCTACAATGGAATTAAGCCAAAGACGAGATGAAATGCACAGTGCAGAATAAGATTTGTGATTTCATTTATGTTCTAAAATATATAAATACGTAATGTATAAATACATAAATGCTCAAATGAGCATTATAACAGCCAGGTTTTCTTAAAGAACTGGAATAGAACCTGTCAGTGTGCACACGTGTGCGTGCGTGCGTGCGTGCATGCATGCTTAGAGGGCGCACAAGCAAGGACGAGGGACGGTGTGGGACAGAAAGAGAATCCCAAGCAGGCTCCACGCTCAGCATGGCACCTGATGTGGAGCTTGATCCCATGACCCTGGAATCACAACTTGAGCCAAAATCAAGAGTCAGAGGCTCAACTGAGCCACCAGGTGCCCAGCAGCTGTCAGCATGGTCTTGAACTCTTCTGTCAAGTATAATCACCTTTTCCAACCTGCCTACTACCACACCATGGAATAATTTCCTGCCCTTGCAGGGGTAGCCAGGAAGCCTCGACTAGGCCAAATCCCAGCTAGGGGTCATTTCTGAATTTTCTAAATAGACTTTAAACATTTTTAAATTTTTAATTCCAGTGTAGTTAACATACAGTGTTGTATCAGTTCCAGGTGTACAATATAGGGATTGAGCAGCTGTGTATATGACCCAGTGCTCATCAAGAGAAGTGACTCTTAATCCCCTTCACCTATTGGAGTCATTTCCATGTTATTACATCTGATTGTCGGGACCCTGACCCTGCTTTTCTTTCTGAGCCTCTTACTACAACCTGCAGCTTCACCTAAACTTCACACTTGTAATGAAGTTGACACCCTAGTTAGTCTGTTTTGGAGCGCTCCATACAGTTGTTTTTATTTTTGTTTTTTTAATGTTTGTTTATTTTTGAGAGAGAGACAGACAGAGCATGAGCAGGGGAGGGGTAGACAGAGAGGGAAACACAGAATCCAAAACAGGCTCCAGGCTCTGAGCTGTCAGCACAGAGCCCGAAGTGGGGCTCGAACCCACAAACTGAGATCATGACCTGAGCCAAAGTCAGACACTTAACCAACTGAGCCACCCAAGCCCCTTCATACAGTTGTTTTTAAAACATTACCTAATGTTTGCCTTCCCCTCTAGACTGCTTAGTCTCATGAGGGGAGGGGCTATGGCTACTTTATCATTTAGCTCTTGTGCCCAAGGAGTGCTTGGCATATATTAGGTCCTTCATAATCGTTTGTTGAAAGAATTAATGAAATTGAGCTTAAGAAACTCATTTCTGATATCATCAGTGTTTCTGTCCTACATGCTCCTCAACTCTTGCTTTGATTTCCTGACCTGCTTCCAACATCTCAATAATGCCTGGCTCTTCTGGTCCTACTATATACCCGGGGATTCCGCACCCTTCCGCTGTCCATGTTACAAATAAAAACCTTATACTTGACACAAAGTGTTATCCATTTTTCCTGCTTTTATATACATTTTCTCTTTTTTAATGTTTATTTATTTTAGAGAGAGAGAGAGAGAGAGACTGAGTACAGAATGCAAGCAGAGGGGCAGAGAGAGAGAGAGAGAGAGAGAGAGAGAATCTGAAGCAGGCTCCAGGCTCAGCTGTCAGCACAGAGCCCGACATGGGACTTGAACTCGTGAACCATGAGATCATGACCTGAGCTGAAGTCAGACGCTCAACCGATTGAGCCACCTAGGCACCCCTAATTTTCTTTCAATATTCCATTTTTTATACTCAAAAAAAAAAAATAAAACCTAATAAATGGTAATATTTGCTAAGATACTTCTAAACATTCTTTCCTTATATATACATAATAGATATTATATATTAGCTTATTTTATTATGTAAATATATATATAAGCCTATTTAATTTTCATTACAACCCTATGAAGTAGGTACCATCATTACCCCCGTATTGCCAATGAAGAAATTGAGGTACAGACAGATTAAGCAACCTGTCCATGGACACACTGTGGGTAAGTAGAAGAGCTGGGATTCAACCCTACATCTGCCCTCACAGTCTAGGCTTTAAAATACTACACTGTGTTGCAAAAGCACTCCCCTAGAAAAATTACAGATCCAACGATCACCCTTTTGCAAGACCACGTACCCCATATCATGTTACTATGGCCAAAGCTCAAAATCTGTCATTCAAAGCACCAAAACCTTACCATGCGCAATGATCTCACTCCAACAACATCCAAGAAAGACACGGCTCCACAATCAAGCACGAGGCTATGGATTGGCACTTTGGGAACATTCACTTTGACTGGAAGCTCAGAGTTCCAATCCACCTGAATCTCTATTTCCTTGGTTGGGATATCAAGGTCTTCTGGATCTTCGACATCTTCATCAGGCTCGAAAGCATCATTTGATGAACCAGCATCCCTTATAATGCCATTCTAAACAAAGAAAACACTGCCAACTTAGGTGCCAAGGACACCTTTCGATAATGCATCTCAAAATACTTAAAAGTCCTGTACAGTGTTCCTTGGCAGGCAAAACATCAAAGGGATAAACTATTAAGGAATGAGATTGACCTCAGTCCACACTGTGATGTTTCCTAGGAAGAAAAATGGAAGAGCAGAGGAGCCAGGAAACTCTTGATTTCTGGAAGATTGTGGAACTTGGCCAAGAGATATATAGGCAGGAGAGTCTGAATAAAAGGCAATAGATCTAAAAGTTTATGAACTTAACTGCCTTCTGTTGTGAGTACTTTTCTGGCATTGAATTAGCACTTATTTTGTCTCCTTCAGTAAAAATAAGGTTTATTTCTTGATGGAAAAAAATCACACCCTATGTTTCCAGAGAGCTCTGCCAATTTTTTAATTCTCTCCCATTCTCTCTTGCCAATGACAGTAACTGTTGTCCAACATGCGTTGTCAATTGCCTGTACACATCTGGGTACCAAAGTGAATATATCAATTTTCAACTGTCTAACTGCTTTCGTTTTCATCTAAGAAGGAAAGGAATTTAACAGAGAAAAGAAAGGTGTCACCTCACCTTAGTTGCCCTTAATTGTCCTTTTTTGATGAGTTTCTGTATTGTCCTCAATGCTTTCAGTCTCTTATTATACACTCTAATGGCGTCAAATCCAACCTTTGGAAAGAAATGTCAAGTTACTTAAAACATCTGGTTCCAAATGCTCATTAATGGCAATTGTTATCTGGAGAGGTGATTTCTTAAGTGGTATTATTCCTTGAGACAGTCTGCTAAACAGTAAAAAACAGTAAAAAACAAACAAACAAAACAAAACAAAAAACTGCATAGAATAACCTCTTTAGCTTTAAGTCTGTGTTAACAAATTTCCTTGACATCACAGAGCCCTTTTGTTATTGCAAAATCTATGACCATTCCCTTGAGCCAGTTTGCTCTGGAACTCACTTAAGAAAACACTCATGTAGAGGCAAACCTCAATTCAAAGCTTGGCATGCCATTCTAGGCCAGAATTTCCTGCTTAACATATTCCACTTACACTCTCTACCCTTTACTCCAACTGGGCAAACACCCTCCCTGCCCAAATACACATACCTACCTTCGACTCTCAGCTCACATCGTTTCCAAACACCTGACATAATCTTTGTTATGTGATTAGTTCAACTCCCATAAATTGCTCCCTTCTCAGAGCTCTTCACATTTACTGTCTACACTACTTACTTGGAACACAAATTCTACCTGCATCTCTACTGTTTTGGTCTTCCATAGTCATTGCTACCTGGATTTTAACATGTATGGTATTGCTGGGCTCTTTCCGATTCCCAATAGAGTGTAAGTTACCTGGATGACGTTATAGTTCTTAAAGTTCCATACAAACAGAATAGGGTGTAGGGTCTCTCCCAGTTTGAGGCAATAAATACCCGTAGAATGAATGGAGTCTCAAAGGAGGTTAGAAACCAAATATCTAGGGATAAAATACTCACTGTGGACTTGATGCATTTTTTAAAACCATCAACGTTGCCATAAAAAATAGGACTAGAAAATTTAAGAATCTTCACTCCTTCAGGTTCTTCAATCTGGCATTAAGAAAAAAAAAATGTGTGAAGTTAAAAAATTTTAGGCTTCAAATATTTAATTAAATTTCTGGCTTTTCACCTAGGAGGCAAGTTACTATTGCTCAGAGGGGCTGGACAGCAGCACTCACTTCTCCCTGAACAAGGGCTTCCTCCACTTAGTGGCAACTTTACAGTCCCATAGAAGGTCAAGTTAGGAGGGGCCTTCATAGGAAATTATTCAACACTCTGATTGCCAGATGGAGAAACTGAGGCTGAGAATGGTGACATGATTTGCCTCAGGTTCATACCACTGCCCCTCTATTTGTTATTTGGCTAAAATTCTTGAGAGAGAGAGAGAGAGAGAGAGAGAGAGAGAGAGACACCCAGGTGGCTCAGTTGGTTAAGCATCCAACTCTTGATTTCGACTCAGGTCATGATCTCATGGTTTGTGAGCTCAAGCCCTGCATTGGGCTCTGTGCTGCGGAGCCTGCTTGGTATTCTCTCTCTCTTTCCCTCTCTTTCTGCCCCTCCCTCCCCTCTCAAAATAAATAAACTTAGAAAAAAAAAACTAAGGAACAAAACAAGGGAGTAAACCAAGGGGATGTGCAAGAATGGAGGACTACGATGTCATTTGCTTGTTCTCACCCTGACACATGGTGGCCAGACTAAAAAACAGAGCCTAGACTTTTCTAGTCTTTAGGAATCATAGCAATTTCAGTCCAGCCTCCTGAAGTGAGAAAATAGGTGTTGGGAGGCTGAGTGATATGGGCAGAGTCTCCCCACGGTGGAGCCTGGAGCTACAAACTCTCAAACTGGTCCCCGGAGCCACAAGATTCTATACCATCATTGTTTAGCTCCTGGCAGCCCTCGGCTCAACGTAACTGAGAAAGATGTGGAAATAAATTAAGTAGCAGCTAATGGAATTCCAGGTTCGGTGTCCAGCATTTTTTTACACTAAATTGGTTTTTTTCTTGATTTTCTTTCTCTGCTTTTTCATCATCGTCTCCCCTGGTGACCACTAAGCTACTTTACAGAACAAAAAGCCTGTCAGTGGGATGTGTCTTTCCTTTGTTTTTTCACTTCCGGTTTTATATTTCATTTCTTCCAATTCCAAAATGGGAGCAAAATGTCGAATCAAGTTCTTTGTGACAGAGAAAAGTCTCATGTTAGAATTAAATGAAGATAATCTTATGGGGATTTCAGATCATTTCACTGGGGATAAGGATTCCATAGCAGAGAAATAGAATTTTGATGCAACTTCTGGAAATAGTCAAATTGCCTATTTTTTAAAAAAATTCCTCATACAACGGTTGTACATTAAAAGGACATTCAGGGGCACCTGGGTGGCTCAGTCGGTTAAGCGTCCAACTCAGCTCAGGCCATGATCTCATGGGTTCGTGAGTTTGAGTCTTGCATTGAGCTTTATGCTGTCAGCACAGAGCTGGCTTCAGATCCTCTGTCCCTCTCTCCCCTCCCTCTCCCACGCTCTCTCTCAAAAATAAACATCAAATAAATAAATAAATAGACATTCAAACTAGCAAGTTCATACAAACTATGGATATCAGAGGGCACATTGGGTCAAAGTGTACATGACACCCCTGGTGAACTTCTAGACTTTCCTAGCAGAAGCCTCCCCACATGGCTACCCTGTACCTAACACTCTAAAAGAGAAACACACTACCCCCTGAAAATCCAGGCTGCCCAACCCAGGTCCGGCAACTGTTTCACAAAGGCACTTACATTTTTGTAATCCTTGGTACTTTTGTAAATGTCTGTGCTAGGGACACTTCCAAGGCTGTTCCACGAGGGACTAAAAGAAGAAAAATTAGGTCAAGATTTTGTGGAACAGGCATACTTTGGAATAAAAAATGAGAAGACATAACAGAAACGAAAGAGCCCATCATCCTCGGCTCTTTATCGCATTGTGTGTCTTGCTACACACGACACCTTCCTGCAGCTAATTCTGAAGTGAACAGCTGGTGCTTGCCCAGGCCCGTGGGGGGGGGGGCTCCTCCTGTCCTGGGGGCTGAGAGAAGTCGTGAACACCCCACTCCCATGTTACAACACTTCAGAGGCCACACAAAGAGCTTTCACACACATTACATTTTATCGAGGCGCCACCATGTTTCTGGAAGGTCAGCAGTACTGTCCTCATTTTTGTGGGTAAGTAAGTGGAGGCACAGATAAGGTCAAAAGGGCCCCGGAGGGCAGGGTTCCGTCAGGTTCTCTTTAACCCAGGGGTCCCCAGTTCCTAGCACGGCGCCTGGAACTTACTCGTGAGTTAGAGCGACTGTCTGATGAAACATGGCGAGTCTTCAGTGATCATACTAATCTCAGTGCCTGGAAATGGGAGCCTGGGAAGCCAGCGGGAAGCCCTTCCCCTCATTCAGACCATTGACTCCCTGTTCCTGGTACCATCAGATAACTTCCGTGACTCCTCAAGCATGACCAGGGACGGTGCTAAATACAATTCCCGAGGAAAGAGCGCCTGTCTGGGGTACTCTCGGCAGTGTGCTCTTTGGATCAGCCATATAATTACTGGAAATGAAATATTGCGGGGGATGTACCCAAAAGCAAGGGAATCAAGAGCAAAAATAAATGATTGGGACCTCATCAAGATTAAAAGCTTCTGCACAGCCAAGGAAACAATCCAGAAAATTAATAGGCAACCAACGGAATGGGAAAAGATAGTTGCAAATGACATATCAGATAAAGGGTTAATATCCAGAATCTATAAGGAACTCACCAAACTACAAGCCCGAAAAACAAACAACCCAGTGAAGGAATGGGCAGAAGACATGAACAGACACTTCTCCAAAGAGGACATCTAGGTGGCCAACAGACACATGAAACGATGCTCAGCGTCCCTCCTCATGAGGGAAATACAAATCAAAACCACACTGAGATACCACCTCACGCCAGTCAGAGTGGCTAAAATGAGCAAATCAGAGAACTC